GCTTAATGCGCATATCCTATATGAAAAGCATTTTAGGGGGCCCTTGGCTTTTGGGGGCCCAAGGCGGTCGCCTACCTTTGCCTAATTGGTAAGTCCGCCCCTGGGTCACATCACAGTGGAGTAAGCTTTCTTAATCGCGGCTTGTGTATTGCAAATACATACGAGCATCATGACTGTCTGTCACGCGACTCTGTTCCACTTTTGGGCTTGAACTGATGGTAAAACTAAGGACATTATGTACTGTCTTTACATTTATGTTGAAAGCTGAAGCTCGTGATTATGGAAAGGGGCGTTAAATTTCCGACGCGTGCTTGTGGTGTTCGGCCAATCACAATTCACTGGGTCAGCTGGCCAATCAGAGCAGACTGTGCTTGTCGGAAGGAGGGGCTTTGTAGAAAACGATGAGTTTGAGAGCGGCGGGGCATAGAGGAACTACAATAATGTACAGTATTTGAAAAATGTGTTTTTTGAACATTAAAGCATGTCAACATATTCTGTTACACCAAATGCACAAAATAATGATCTTTAAAATAGCATCATATGACCCCTTTAACGCCGTCTCGCCGCTAGCCAAACTCTGCATTGCTGATAATGGTTTCGAGTATCAATATATCTGCCCTTTCAAATGAACATGTCAACATGGAGTAGGGCTGCTCAATTATGGTAAAAATCATAATCACGATTATTTTGGTCAATATTGTAATCATGATTATTTAACCCGATTATGAGTGAACCATATGACCAAAACTTTGAGTGATTTATTTAAAGATAGTGATATATCAAATACATATTTCCTGTAAATAAGGTTGGTATGACACATTTTAGAGACCAGAGAAATTTCACAATTCTCAATACCACAGCAGAATATTAGGGTATAATATTAGCTAGTAAAAAACAAAAAAAAGTCCTAAAAATTATTGAAAATAATTAACTGTCAGTAATAAAAAGCAAAGGACAAATACAATAGAATAAAAAGATACAAATGAAACAAACTGTGATTTAAGTTTTTTTTTTTTTAAGGCTAATGCAAGTCTAAAGTAGGCTAGGCTATTCAGTTAACAGCCTACTGCAGAAATGAATAATCAAATGTAAAAAAAAAACAGCATAGTCTTCACTGTAATAATTAAACTTTCTTTGTTTCTTATTGAAGGTACAAAAGTCCTTCAGTCAAGAGCAGTGAGTGATTTTGTCTTTGTCTTTTGTTGTTTGATTAATATTAAGCACACAGTCGGCAGCAGGAATATTAGCCCGCTGTCACTTTAAGAGCGCACGGATCCAACGAATGTATTTTCATTCTCAACTATTTAAGTTCATTTATTACATGACCGACAAGGGTTTACATGAATAATCACTAAGCGCCACATTTTGACACTATTTTACGTGTATATGACCATTTAGGCGCGCACCTTGAGCTACAAGATGACTTTACCTGTCCGTCTTTTGTTCCGTCTCTGAGCATTTTCCGTCCCATTTTGCAGAAGTTACATGATTTTACTGATTTGTAATTGGGAAAATTGCAATTGATTGTGAAATTGGGCTTTTAATGGAGGAACGAAAGCGCACCGCTGGAAAGGGGGCGGAATGGGGCGCAATAATCGTTTTATCTCGATTATTGTATTTTCATAATCGTTGGAGGCCAAAATCGAAATCAAAACTGTATTTCGATTAATTGCACAGCCCTAACATGGAGTAATCTCAGGGCCTGTTCACACCTGACATCTGGTCACTTTATGGGTTTTCTCTTATCGGTTATGGACATGTTTACATGCTACACTTTTATGGGCATGTTTACATGCTACACTTCATCACTCAACCTCCGACAGCCAATAGGATTAGCGTGATTTAACACGTTTAGACACTGGCACATGATGAAGGCATTCTCGTAGTGTTATGTTTGCATCAATATGCCCTAATAACACGTTATTTCTATTTTGTTCTAGAGCGTGCACAAGAAGAACCGGAGCCGTGACTGCACTGTTTTCACTGATTTACTCTGCACACTGCAACAACAACAACATACAACACGGGAGTGCATTCTAGAGGCCATCAGGTATTATAACATCAACTCAAATACATTACACATAGCATCTACGTTCAATAGCATAAAAGTTCCACTTCAGAAGGGAACGTTTAATGCAGCGCTGAGCTGATGTAGAGGTGCTGCCACAGAAATTTTAAAATCTTTTTCCATGCATCCTCTTGTGCGTATGCGTGCAGTTTGGTTTGTCCACCCCATAGCATGACAACTGCAGGAACAACAACAACATGCATTAACATGTAAAACACAATCACAAATAAAGTCTAAACTTAGAATTAGAACCATATAAAAAATTAAAAATGACATGAGACATCATGCATGCATACCTCTCTTTTTTTTCCATATTAAATAGTAGTTTGTTGAATGAATGGTAGGCAAGTATGGAGGTTCAATCAGATGACCCGCGCCATGATATGTCAGGACTTCCATCAAGTGTCGATTTCCTGCTTTCTCCATCATCATTGCCATCTGGGTTTATAAAGTCAATATCAGGGATCTAAGTAATGTCACAGTTTTTTTTAAGCTGAATACTAAAAGAAATGAGCATACTAAATATAACTTATTTAGCATGTAAATTTATTGAACAAGTAAGATATTACTTGTCACTGGTATTAGGACAGTCATTGCTCATAGAATTAATGTAGTGTTTACCTTCATGTGGTCTACTCTTCAGCATAATGTTAACCACAAAAACTTTAACAACAGAAACTCTTAAATGTCAAACATAACAGCTTTAAACACTAGCAGGTCTTTCCTTTCAGTAAAGAACACATATAATAACACTTAATTTCAACATTTATTCTCCTTATCCAGTCCTCTACAAAGCATGCTGGGAACGAGAACGACAGCATAACTTCAGTGTGTGCTTATAATAAACAGAACAGCCCACTGCGGAAATGAATAAAATAATAACATATATACTGCTACAGAAGGTTGAGCATGATTTCACCAAGTACATGTTCCTAGAGACAGCAGTGTTTAGTAAATGCTCAAAGTGAGACTGAAAGATATAGTATATAACTCACATCTTCAGCAGATTCAACTGCAGGAAAAGTCTGATCATCATCACCATTCACCAACAGAAGTGGACACTTTATTCTCCCAACCTGTGTGAATTTTAACAAAAACAAGCAGACAACCTCAGTGAAAAAAAAATACTAAAATGTATTTGAAATACATTTATTTTGTGTTAGGTTTACTACCAATATATTTACATATGTATGTGTGTCACAAGATCAGACAGGGATCAACAAGAGGTAAGTACACTCAACTGGGTTTATTTGCAGGTGTTCAAGAGACACAGTGAAGTATGCAATTGATGGACTTAACTTAACTCTAAATGACGTTCTTTCTTATTGCAAGAACACCTGGATGATGCAGACAAGACAGGACAGGCAGGGATGTAGAAGGATGTAAGGCAGGTAATCATAGATGAGAGTCAGGTAAGTAGTTCTCAGGGAACGACGAGACCAGACAATGGTGAGATGGAAAGTGACTGCTTAAATACGGTGTGGGTGGTTAAAATTCCAGTGACTCTGATCTGGTGGGAGGAGCTGAGAAATCTGCTGCAGATGATGGAACTGACTCTATGACAGTACCCCACTCCACGGGCAGCTCCCAATGACCGCAGCGGTGGACAACAACGGAGAAGGCCCCTGCCTCTGGGTGCCGGGTGACTGGGATTGTTGGTATGGAATTTTGTTAACAGGGCTGGATCGAAGATGTCGTCACAAGCAACCCAGGAATGTTCCTCTGGGCTGTAACCCTTCCTGACCAGGGAAACAGGGATGGCTGTTAACCAAGGATGAATTGGAACGGCGTCTGACCAGTGGTAGCTTGGCGTAGGGAGTTCTGGGCATACTCAGCCCAAGGACGGTAATGACTCCAGCTCTGTTGGCGATCATGACAATATGACCTTGGGGCAATATGCCCCTGTGGATGGTATCCCGAAGATAAACTGACTGTGATGCCTAAGAGTTGGAAGAAGGCTTGCCACACTCTGGATATAGACTGGGGACCGTGGTCGATGTCTTGTAATTCCAAAATGCCTGAAGATGTTTTGGAATAGGACTTCTGCTGTTTCTAAGACGGTAGGCAAACCCTTGAGCGGAATCAATTTGCAGACCTTGAAAAAGCGATCGGTGGCCACCAGGACACAAGTACGGGATAGTGAAGGTGGCAGATCCGAGAGGAAGAGGTCTGCTGGCTGCCTGGGTGTTCAGAGCCCAGAGATGTGTGGCCATGAGGCACAGGCGAAGAGCTGACGGATCACAGAGCCATCCCTCAGAACCTCCCTGCGGAGCAGGTTCAGAGCGCATGACCTTTGCAATTCGATCATCAATGGCCCACTGGTTGGGACTGACGACAATGACTGGAGGTAGAATGGTTTCTAACACTGATAGACTGGGGTCAGTATTGTATATACGGGATAGAGCATAGATTTTCTGGTTCTGAACATTTTCTGACACGCGCTCTCTGTCTGCTGGTGGGAGTGTGCTCACCTATTTATTTTTGTCCAAATTCCGTTTTTTCCGTTTACATATTTCTGGATTCCGCTTTTTTCCGTTTTAATTTTTCTGGACTCCTTTTTAATGGTCAAATTAAATTTTATTACTCAAAAAGAATGTCTAATTATTTAAAATCATGAAACGTAAACAATTTCACATCAATTTATTAAAAGTAAAAAAAAAACCTACATGCTTAGAAATACATGCTATGAATTTTTTAAATTTTTTCTCACCATATGTTTGTGATATGTTTTTGATTATTTAGATGCTTTGTTGGATTTTCTAGTAGGAGGCAGCGTTTCTGTTTAAATGAGCGGTCAGACGGAAATGAGAGAAGTGTGCCGGCGTGCTGGTTAAGCTCCACGAACATGGCTTCCGAACTACGCTTCCTAGTTCCCTATCGATACTTCACTTGTACCGCGTCTGCTAAGACGCTATGGGAAAAAGCCCTTTTTTCTCCTGAACTGAAGCCTTTTTCAATAACGCAATGTAAAGAAAACGAACCAATGGCTCGGCAGCGGTGCTGCATTAACCTGTGGCCACAAAGCCCGCCAGAATGGGTGGGGTCATCTGGTTATATAAGTGGTCGCTTCGCCACAGGATTCAGATTTCTTCTCCTTCAGCGATGACGACGTTCTTTGCTGATCTCCGCTGACTGACGAGCCTGCTCGCCATTGACACACCTCGCAGTGGAACAGCGACCTTTCTGCTCGGCTGATGCGCCACCTTTCCCGCCATCTTCAGCCTCGCACAGCAGTGGTCCAGCTTCCCCTGTCGCCAGCAAAGAGCAAATTTTCGGCCCGTTGTTTCAAATGCTGTGCAGTTATTGCGGTACGTGCAGGTTTCTTCTCTGTCAGTCTTCTCTTGATGACGGCCACTGTGAGTGCGTTTCCTTCTTGGGAAAATCCCACGCGGAATACACGCTCACCGAAACGGTTTGTTCCAATTGTGAAAACATGAGTCTGGCCTCTCTGCGCTCGCTGATGGATTTCTTCACAGCGCTCGGATGCGAGCGATCTCACGCCGGCTCAAGTCCCGCGTGCCTCGCTCTCTCCACACAGGGAGGCTTCCCCTGTCCTCTTCACCCAGCCTGACCAGCGTCCCTCTGCCAGTGCGAGCGATCTGGTCTCGTTTGGTGGGAGTGATGACGAGCTGCTGGATGACAGCATGTCATTAGCAGCCTCGGATGCAGAGGAGCTGTCGGGCTCGAATGCCGCCCCCGCCCCCCTGCCGTCGTCTGAGCCCAGTGACGTTAAGCCCGGGATGGACGCTGAATTATTCAGTTTATTATTATTTATTACAGCCAACGAGTATCGTTCCTTGGAACAGTGTTCGACTCAACCCAAATGAGAGCGGTGGTAACGACAGAGCATGCTCTGATCATACAGCAGCTCGCGGCTTCCTTCAAGGCCAGTGCCTCTCGCCCCCTCAAGATGTTTCAAAAGATGCTGGGCCTTATGGCCGCAGCATCTTAAGTGCTACAGTTGGGCCTGCTTCATATGCGTCCCCTTCAGTACTGGCTGAAACCGCGGGTTCCATTCCATGCGTGGTGTCACGGACGCCTGCATATTAGGGTAGACTGTAGAAGATTTTCAGTGATCTTAATTCAATATAATACATATAATTATGCCTATAGATAAGAATACATTATTGTACTATCAATATAATACATATGATTATGCCTATAGATAAGAAGACAGCTATTGATCATTCTACATATGGTAAAAAACACCTCTCTAAAAATACAACAATGCATATGTGGAATTCTGTAACCAGCTCCAGGCATATATACTGTATATATCGGTGTAGAAAAGACATTCTGGAGTTACTTTTGCAAACCGTAACTCTGCTTTGTTGTTTGATCAATAAAGTCTACTGGCTTCAAAACCTCTTTAGCAATTTATTTTGAACAAGGAAAATAACAAGGAACATAATTGGCACCCCAGGTGGGACACGAGACCGGGCAAAAGAGTGAAAAACTGCAGCGGGCTCTCTCTGGACGATTAACATAAAAAGTGGCCACAAGGTAAGCTATTTGCTTAAAAAATTAATTTGTGTTATTCTCCAGAGATTGCCCGTTGTGGTAAGAAAACTCTAAAAAGCTCTTCCAAAAAGTTAAGAACCTGAAGAAAAAAAGGGGTTTTGAATCCAAAATTAACTGTAGGCTGTCATTAAATGTTGCATTCATATGGTCTTTGTTTACTGCATAGTTGCAGTGGGCGCGCGGTAAAATCCATGGTGGTTTAGTAGTTTTTAGTAAAATTCCATGGTGGTTTAGTTTAGGGCTGAACGATTTCCCTAGACCACAAAGTACTGATATGGATAAATTTGTATTACTAAAGATTAGGGCTGAACGATTTTGGAAAATAATTAATTGCGATTTTTTTTTTACCAATATTGCGATTGCGATTTAATATGCAATTATTTTTTAAAGCTCTTTGTTCTATTTTTGCTTGTATCTCTATATGCTTGTCTCTGTATTATTCATCAAAGACAAGCTATAAATCATTGTATAGTATGACCAACACATTATTAGATAGATTAAACATAAATGTTCTTTTCTGTAAGCCAGGCCTGTATGTTAAAATTAAATTAGGTGATGCATGAATTGATATGAATGACATTTTTATTTAACAACTACAATCACAGTATATTGACTGATTTGTTGAACTTCCAACCTTGTAAGCATGTAATAATTATGACAACATAAAGCACTGACAAATAAGCCTGGTGTAAACATTAATATGAAAGTCAGTAACAAATCACACAAACTAAAGTAGATTGCAGAAATATAAAAACAAATCTGTTGCTTTACCACACTACTTTAGGTAATTCAAAGTCAATGTAATAAACATATGTAAACATGTGCACTGCACTTTTTAAACACTGTCTGGAGCGGCAAAATACAGTAGAACCATTATAACCAGTGACGCTGTGTACACTGGATGCGTGACAAAACCCGACATTAAACTGATGCCTTGTTCTATTTATGACGTACTGACACAAAGTTAAAATGATTTGCAACGGTCTCTTTGTCGCATTCAGTGTAGAGCTGTTGTGGCGCGACAACTGTAGCGTTCAGTACATAGACTGTATAGACACCGTGAGTGAAGCCGAGAGCAAGATATGCCTCTTCATATTTTCTGCATTTAGCTTGTGAATGACCAGCACCTGCCTGGGTCTGTGCGACTTCATCTATGGCTTTTCTCTT